TGCATCGAATTGTGCCTTGTTTGTAAACGAATCTGCAATAAAATGAAGTGAACAAAGGACCAAGTTCTTACTGACGCGGTCTGGATCTTTATTAAAAATATAGTTAATCAAATATAGTTTATCGTTTGGTTTCTTTGTAGACCTGTGTTTGCCGCTCTTGACATTTACCTACTACGTGCGTGTGATGTAGAAGCAGGTGTTGATCATCTTCTGAGGAGGCGGAGCTTATCCACACTATTACATCATAGAGTAGAACATTCCACAAGCTGATGTTGTGGCAGACTGCCTTCAATATAAGCTGTTTTAAGACTAACGAGAAAGTTCTGAGTCCTGAAACTTACAGGATGTTTATATAGTACAATGACCTTTCTCAGTTCATGACCTCTTTAATGAGTGTGTGTGTTTGTGTCTCAGTGTCAGATGATCAGTATGGATGAAGACGCAGCCTGACGCTCCTCCAGAAGCTCAAGGACATGTTAATGCTGCTCTGAAACTTTTAACAGTCAGCTGAAGGAAACTCGTCCTCATGTGCGAAATGACCCCAGGATCAAGCTTGAATTTTATAATGCCTGTATGATATAAGGAATGAAGACACACACACTCACACACACACACACACACACACTCCTGTTTAACGGACGTCATCACAGGTGAAGATCTCAAACAGACACTCTTCAGGAGTCTGTGGCTTTGCTACAAACACGCCGCTGTTTTCATTTGTGTTTGTGAGCTTTTAAGATCCTCTTATTGAAGGTATTACCACTTTATGATATTTAAATGATCCTTGTAAATATGTGTGAGTATGTGGAGGGCAGACAGGTGTCTCTCTTGCACTGTATACATGTTGACTGTCACAGACTTTATTTATGTTTCTCCTTCACAGACACACTTGAACAATCTGTTTGACTTTGTTTTGATGAAGTGCTTGTATGAATGAATGCACAGCGCTGCTGCTGCTGTAATAATGACTCGTTCTGTTACTGCTGCGCTTCGTCTGCTCCGGCGTGTAGATTGAGTTCTGGGCCTTAAACCTGATGGTGCCTCTGCATTATGTGTCGTAATGTTTGAATGCCTTCGGCGCGCGAGAGCGAATCTGTGCTCAGGGAGATTCAGCTGACCTCTGACCTCACCTGTCCGTTAGAGTCACGCTTGTTTATTAGCAGGCTTGTGCGGTATGCTATCTGAAGGAACGCAGCAAACGCTCCTCAAACATCTGCAGGTTTGTCTCTAAATACTCGCCTTTATCACACCGTCCTAAACCCAAGACTGTACGAAGAACACTCTTATTTATTGTGTATACGTGTGATTTTGCTTTTCTCTTTTAAATGTATTGTTTGTTTATGAGATGTGATACTGAACTGTCCTCCAGAAATCGATGTGCACTACTGAGGGAATGAACCTGCGCGTCATTCGATGATATTCAGGGACTGTTATACGTTTATTTAGAATGAAACCCGAATGTGAAGGAAAGCTCTTGGACCAGACCGGTGATTCTCATGGTGTGGTTTGAGGTCAGGTTTGCTCTGGTGAAGATCGGAAGAACCCGCTGCTTTATCTCAGGACTGATAGGCCAGTGATCTGAATGCTTTACAGCTTTAGAGAAACAACTCCTCTGTTTTTGACATTGTTTTTCAATAAATGCACATTTTGAACCCAGAAATCCGAGTGTTTGTCTTGATGTCGTGATGCAGCTGTTGTTCTCTCTGGTGTTTTATTCAAGCGTCGGTCTGAGATTCACTTTCATCCACACAAACGTCAGCTATCAGATGTTTTATGGGCAGCTTCAGTCCTGTTCTATCCGGAGCATAAAGCTGATGATTCAATAATGCTACAGCCCTCCATCCATTCATTATTAAACTGTTCACATTCACTCATCTTTGCATATTTCATGAGCTCATCAGTGTGACGTGACTGAACTTCACTCTGGTACAGTATTTAATCATCTATTCCATGGTCTTCAGATGCTTTTTTCATGAATCAGAGGAGCTGTGGGTTGAATGCGGTGAGGACGTCATGTTCAGATCTGCAGTAATGAGTGGCATGCTGTTCGACGGGACACGAGGAGAACAATGTTCATCACAGCAGCACTGATCCAGGTGTGACACTCTAGGAATTAGCTGTGGCATTCTCTAGTGTAACCACTCTTTTTTTAATTTATAGAACCATATTTATCTGTAGAACCATAAATAAAAATATTGAGTTTTTCCATTTGCTGGAGGTAGACATCTGTTTATTGTTTGGTTTACTCTTGAAATTCAGTATTCTGCTAATATTGTTGCTCATTGATAATAATTGCTTGTGCTTTTCTTCGTTTGTGAGCTGCTCTGAAGGTCTGAGTTTGACACTCTTGAAAGCTCCTGAAGTGTCAGAGCTGGTGTGAGTGTGTGTGTGAGTGTGTGTGTATGAGAGTGTGTGTATGAGTGTGTATGAGTGAGTGTGTGTATGAGTGAGTATTGTGTGTGTGCGTGTGTGTATGAGTGAGTATGTGTGTGTGTATGAGTGAGTATGTGTGTGTGTGAGTGTGTGTATGAGTGAGTATGTATGAGTGAGTGTGTGTGTGTGTATGTGTATGAGTGAGTGAGTGAGTGAGTG